ACTCGCTTACGCTTGGCGAGCGTTCGGTGAACGCCGTTGTAGCATGCCTAACGCGTAGGCCGCACGATATTCCAAGTACGCTTGGCTATTTTCATGCTACGCCAGAAAGACACCTAGCGACACGCCACGCTTATAGGTGACACGACACGAGCGGCCGATCTCCGAGTGCCGTATAAAGTCGAAATCGAACGATCAGACCGACCAACCGGAATCCTCGGAATTCTCCATTCGTCTAGTTCTCTAGTTCATCGGTATACTAAATTACTCGTTATATTTTGGTTCTTTTAACCTACTTTTCCTATCGTCCGTTATATATTTCCTCTCTTCGTTTCCCTAGAAAAATCATATTTTTCTAATTATTACTCAAAAAATGTGTGTAAAGAAAATTTTACGTTACGCAATTATTTCACTTTTCGACACATGTGCAGGAAAAGATTATAATGTGAATTACGCGATGACATTTTTTTTTTACTATTTATACTGTGTTTTTTTAAACAAGATATTCATCTCTTGAGATGGTCATATAAGAGATACGAATTTATTAATAAATAGCATTATGTTACACCCATTCATTAATTATTACTTTTTATTTACGACATCTTTATGATACTTCAGATATAAAATTCATATTATCTCACACAATGTACCGAACAAATTGGTACTAGCTTAAATTACTTCTGTTTTTGTAAAAAAGCATTCGAATAAAACGTTTATCTGCAAAAAATTGCACATCAAATATTTTTTACCAAATATTTTTCAAAATAACATAAATGGTTAACATGTTTTTAAGTTTTTGACATGCTTTTGGTTGTAGTAATATGTATTAGGTCGTGTAATATAAATAGAATGAAAATTGTGTTTTAAATTCAAACAAACGTTATCTTTAGATTCATCAGCAGTAACTTATTAAGAATTCTATGAACTTTACCTTAATACAAAAACACTTAGAACTTGTCAACACCCAAGTAATCACCTGAGCGATTAGTTTCGGAATAATTAAAAATCCAACATTTCATGTTACGCAACCTAATAGTATCGTATTACAGTATTTACAAATTCATGGTACTCTGTGGTGAAAACCAACGATTCGTTGTCTCTTCTTTCGTATCCTGCAGATATTACATAATAGTTATGGGAAAATTTTAGGAATTCAATCAATTTAGACCAGATTTTTCAGGAGAAACAATTTTATTGTTAAATTCATTTTTCATTGATAACAGCTGCAAAAGACTTTCTATACTAATTTACATTAGATTGTAAAAAATATATTTAATATTCGCAGGGTTTTTTTAAATTTTTCAACTTGTAAACATGGCAAAATTTAAGATTGGCAACTTCTCTAATTTATATTATAAATTTCAATAACAGGAACTAAGCTTTGTTTTGCTTTGAATCGTAAGTTAAAATTATTAACCATCCGTAGATAAAGAAACTTTTTCACATTTGGTAGGCAAACTGGGTAGTATGTGTCTAAATCTAATTTTTTTACCGTTTCAAGCTTTCAAAAAATTTGCAAAAATTCTGAAATTCTCGTCAAAATCTCTACTACAGTATACAATTGTTCGTTAATTCAAATGTTCGAAACATTTTTCAATATAAATAAAAATTCGTTTCGAAGTAATCTGGGTTGTCCCAGATTGTCTACGATGGATGAAAAATAAAAATTATGATAATTTGTTGGAGAAATTTTTCGCAATAAATCTTACATTGCCACGGGAATTTCCTCTCGGTAGCGTGATGTCGACAGCGATATACACATATGTCGTAGATTTTCTAAGAACAAATTCCATTGTTATTTAAAGGTTTGCCAAGCAGAAGAAATTTTTTCACGTGGTGAGAGTCGTTCAGCGTATATTTTTGAATAAATCCCTACAGAAAATTGTGTTCGAGAATGAAGCAAAGAAAGAGAATTTTTTTTTTTTCTATAATTCTTTACGAACGTGACACTGCGAAAGCATGCGTCGACGAATCATTAAATTGAAAGAATGTGTCCGTTACATGCACGAAATTCCTTGCGTTCTTTTTTTTATTGGTTGCTTTATTAAAAGAATTCGATTAATTTGTCTGGATAATTGTCATCTGTTACGCGGAATCGAGAGAATTCGTATTAATGGTTAGTTACTTCCACAGAATTTCTGTGATGTTCTCGACGTCTCGCGGTTTGAAGAAATTTTGTAAATAAATTCAAGGTAGTTTGAAAGACAGCTGCAAAGTGTTGACTCAAATTCGAAATTCTACAAATTAGTTCTCAGGTACTAACGATTGAAATTTCAAAATTTTTCATAAATTCAAAATGATATTTCTTTAGAATGCACTTCGCTTGTTACGGTGGTTTTCTATTAATTTTGTGAAGAAAAAAAATGGCAGGATAAAATTCTTTTCCTACCGGAAGTATTTAAATATTATTCCATTTAATAAATTTCGCGTTATTTTTGCACTGAAAAATGCTACGAAGATGAACACGAAGAAATTAGACAAATTTTCGTTTTCTCATATATATTTTATTTGTCATATTCTTTAAACAGAATTTCATTGAAATAATTAAACAAATTGTAGCACGAATTTCCCTAAAAAAATATTTAAAAGCTTCCGGTTAAATATTTCACGAAATATTTAATTGGTTAAATTGAAATTGGGACAGTAATGAAATATGAATTATTATTTGAAAAATATTAGCGATACCTTAATTTCAGTGATACCAAATATATTTGATATGGGTACTTGAGTAATATTAGCGACACTTGAATTTCAGTGATTCGAAATGCAGTATAGTAACTATGGAACAAATGCTCGCAGCGAGATTCGATTGAAAGTAGAAAATAGAGGCAATGTTGATGGAACGATTAAATTTATTCGATCCACTGACCAAATTTACTTGAACAGTCGAGGGTCGATTGTCGTAAATCTGAGGAACTTCATTACATTCATTCAGTGATACCATAAAGCGGTTACGGCCTTGTAATAAGCTTAAAAGGATTGAACGCACTCGCTTTTCTCGTCGGAACTACTTTCGATCTACTAACTTTGGCGGCTTCACCGAACCGGCACACAATTCCTATTTCACTTCTGTCCTTTTTAATACCAAATGATATCGTACGCGTGCAAAAATTGCGTCGCGCCGAAACGCAAATTACACTTCTATCTGCTGACTAGTCCTCTTATCTTTCGCATACTCGCCTCAACACGAATACTATCGTTTCTACTATGAATGCTTTTAATTGAAGATGATTATCAAAAGCGCCGCGCAGAGCTGCTTATAATTGAACGAAGTACTAGTCGATACAGGTTTAATATCGTTACTTCGTTACTTTTCGTTCCTATTATTGATATCGAACGATGGAAATTGACGCCCAGTAACGTTCGTTACGCGATAATTATTCTCCCTAAATTTTACACAATTTCGAAAGTAGACGTCGAGTGAAACAGTGGAATGACCGTTTGAGCCGCTCAGAAGCCAAAGTGACTTAATTCCGTGAAATGGAATTTATTGAATTTGTTTTATTTCTGGAAAATTATGCACCAAGCACATGTGCTTTGATACTAAAATTGGAGGAATATCAAAAAGTGGAGTTAATCATTTCGGCTTCTGAGTGGCTCATTTGTCGAATGACTCAGGCGTTTTATCGTGTTTTTATTTTAGCAAGGCTGTCAACACGCTGAATTTACAAGTGTTCCGTTTTCAAAAAATGATCTGTAATTTGGAATTTTTCCCATAAGTTCCTGTCGAGTTTTTTATCAATATTTCCAACGAGCCTTTAAATCTAATTTTTAAAAAAGCGCCTTCTAATTTCACAAATTTTTCCTATTTTCTTTTAATAACTAAATTTTCTTTACTTTTCTGATTTTCGTTGAAATATTTTTCGCTTTCGGTACGAACTTAATACTCACCATTACTTCCATGAAACTTAAATCACCATAACAAAGAAGCAGCTGTATTAGGGTAAAGTTGCCTAAATTGAGACTCATTTCTTATAAAAATCATAACTCTCGACTAAGAACACTTTTATTAAAATTCGACACATGTTTTAAAAGTATGACATGTATTCTTTTGCAAGGTACTGGAATGTACGGTAAAGAAAATTCGGTTCCTTCGTAATAAAATAAAAAGGAAAATTATGCAAATACACAGATTTAAAAAGTGGGTTCCTAATATGAGAAAACTATTTTTTCTGTCTTTTTTCACACATTGGGAATATTAAATCTGTTTCTTCAGCACCGCAGACCTCGTGGGCTGACCGGTAACACTTTGTACGCTAAAACAAAATTGGGTACCTAATATGAGACTCTTCTTATAATAGGAACTTCCGAGTAGCTTCGAGATTAAGTCTTCGTTATTTAACGATACGCAACTAGTAAGCCTTAAACTCCGTTGCATGCACTGTACAACAGTATTTATGAAAATGATTATAA